TATCAAATAACGAAATAAAATGATATAATAGAATTAAACCGATAAATATTACATTATTCAACTTAGGACTTTGCATTTTCAAACTTTTAATTTGATATCAGTATCAAAATTTTAACTTTTAGTTTTTAGCTGTCATAATATGTAATCCTATAAATACAAGTTTTTTAATATTTTATTGTTTAAACATCGTTGCAGAAATATAACGGAAAATAGCATGAAATTCGTAAAATAACATTAAGTAGCGTAAAAAGCATGCCCTTTGGATATTGCGCGTAAACTTTTCAAGAAAATGCTACATATATAATAGCGCCCACAATGCATTGATTCTCTTAATAAAATATCATATGCCACATAGGAAATTGACTTAGTCTATTGAAAAATGCCTCCCAATGCAATTAAAGGTGGACATGGTCTATCTTATGTGACAATAAAAAAAAAGAGACCAAGTCCACACTTAGGTCTATTTTGGACCCAAATACAAACCTAAGTACTCATCATTTATTCCTCATTTAAATTTTCTTTTAATACATGAAACATATTAGAGTATTTTTTATTGATTGACATGTATGTTAGACCTTGTATTTAATTTTTGCATTGAATAGCTTTGAGTTTTTTTACTTGGGTTTGTCCATGCCATTTATGACTTAAGTCTATTTATATGACACATATGTAAAATTAGACTCAATGCATTGTGGGTGCTCTAACAATATGCTGCATCTTTGTATTTTAAAAAGCGTTATAGCGAATTACATTGCGAGCTATTTAAACCGATTGTAAGTGCACAAGATCAAATACTGATGTTATAAAACAACATATAATGCTGTTAATAATTGAGGAATTTACACTCCCTACTACCAAATATATTTTATATTACATATTTACACCCTATTAATATTTATTTGTAAAGATACGAAATTACTCAATATATTTGCACATATACCTTTATCCTTATCCAAATTGAATCCAACTTTGCGTAATTGGATTAATCAACCATATTTAGAGTCACCCACATAAAAAACTAATCCGATCAAAAAAAAAAAAAAAGATAAAAACCATCTGCAACACCAATGAAGAAGATTATACAGGCTTGTTGCAAAAAAATGGTCGAGTTCAATCATTGAAGTATTTTTTTGACCGAGAGGCTCGGGAGCCGCTCCCCAGCGCTCGAGTCAAAGCTCGACTCGAGCTCGAGTTTGACCGGACTCGAGTCTAGTTCGAGCGGCTTTGCAACAACCTGTATAATCTTACGAAAATTATACAGGCTTCACTAGTGATGGCAATGGGGAATTCCCCATCGGGTATTGACTCCCCATACCCATCCCCGCGAGAGAATTTTCTCCCCATGGGGATCCCCATTTATGCTTTTGGGGAGGATTTTCTCCCCATCCCCATTACCAGCGGGGATAAATCCCCATCGGGGATCCCCATACCCGCTAATTGTTATTGATATGTATTTTATTTATACTATGTAGGTGGCATAACATCACATTATATGATTTCAATTTATCACATTACATACATAATATGATATTATGTTTACATATTTAATATATTCTCATGTAATTACATCATGATTCAGGTGTATGTATAAATATATTGGAATAACTAGCATGTATACTATCTTAACGGGTCCCCGCGGGTAAACGGGGACGGGGATTGGTTCCCCATCCCCATACCCGTTTACCCGTCGGGGATGATTTTCTCCCCATTAGCACCCCCATGGGGGAAGATT